CTAAAACATCAAACATTTATTTGGTATGCCATCAGAACGACTAATTTTCTTCCCTTAGGTCACTTTTTAGTAACTTTTTTACAACTGTAAGTAACTATTTGGTCACTTATTTCTTCAAGATGGCCACTAAAATCACTATTTTTGACAGAATTGATCGCTTCCAGCCCTGCCAGTATGAACACCTACTCATCCTATATGCGGACAAAATTGAAAAAAGGTAACCGTGAAGTCACAGAATTGAGTGTCCTAGTAGCAAATAGCCTTTGGCCAGTGCACACTGGGCCAGAAATGCAATCTAGCAGAGCAGAATTAATAACTCCGAAACGAAGCATTTCCGCGACTTGGTGTCTTCGGTAAAGTTTCTCATCATAATAAGGACCATCTATTGACATAAACAAATAAACTACGGACAAGCTCAGGGGAAGAATTTCATGGAGCTTCGTTTGATTTCATATAACTGAATTTTAGTTTATGAAACTTTGTGAAAGTACAGGCACCTGCAAAGAAGTTCATGAAATTTCGTAGAATTTAGGAGAACTTAATTTATTTTCACGGATTTTCAATAAGATATCAATAAAGTCCTCTGGATATTTTGCAAGACTTTTTAGGTTGATCAAGTAAGTAATTACCTCCCTTAGCTCAGTCGGTAAAGGCACAGCTACAAAGCAAGACCATGCTGGAGGTGGCTGGGTGCGATTCCCGGTCCGGTCTAGGAATTTTTCGGGTTGGAAAATTTCTCGACTTCCCTGGGCATAAAAGTATGATTGGACTTGCTTGCCACACAATTATACCAATGCAAAAATGGTACATGCATCGAAAGCTCTCAATTAATAACTGTGGAAGTGCATCTAGAACTCTAAGTTGAGAGCACGCAAAAAGCTAATATGCCATACGCAATAAGCTTGAAAAGCGAGGAAGAAGAAGAAGAAGAAGAAGAAGAAGTAATATTCTGAAAATCTGCAATCAGGAAGTACTTGAAAGGTTTACAGATCGATCGATGATTTGAATAAAGTCCTCTCGACATAATTTCAAAACTTAAGGTTGATCCAGTATTATGCCGAAGATCTTCAACTGCTGATATTATCATGTGAATTATTTGAAAAATCTCCAGTAATTACAAAATTCTAAGATATTCTCGTAAGATGGCACTTGTTGGTCAGGAAAGATTTAAAAGATCTCCAGCTGATCGAAAAAAATTTTCATAAAATCAGGTTGGTGAAGCTCGTTCTGAAGATTTGTTTATTTTCCATCTGTCTCTGTTCCGAAAGCGAGTGCCAATCACCGACTTTAGGGAGCCGACTTCACACACCAGGACCCCAGATATCGAGCCCATCAACACAAAGCATAACTGTCCCATCTCTGCTTAATTGCCTATTCATATGGGACAGTTATGCTTTTATGGGCAGAATGGCTTTACTTTCCTTCCTAAGGAAGACCTGACCCTCTGGCAGTGTTATTATGAAAGAACTCTCTCTACAATGTCGCATTTATGGTCATTGTAGACAGCTTTAGTCTGGGAGTTAGAAGGTGATAGCTCTATTGTAGATCCAGCAACCCATTTCAGAATGTCTGGAGATTTATTTAACGTCGGTTCATGTTCCGCAATCTAGTGCCAATCACCGACGGACATCGATTGCCATCCATTGACGGCAATCGAATGTGCAGGAAGGCAGCATCCACACCTGCGTAGGATATCGCACCCATTCATTCAACACACATGGGGCGGGACCAATGGCTTTACTTCCCTTCCGAAGGAAGACGTAACCAGAGATTTTTATGCCTCAGAAAAATCCCACCGACTTCAGCTGGGATTCAAACCAGACCCATTGGGGTGAGAAAGCAGTCACACTACACCACCGGCGCCGGCTAGGTTACTTTCACTCACAATAAGCCCCGCATGTATGTATTACCTCTATCAATTGGATATTAGTATTGCACACACACACTTCCAGTTTCGAAATGTTCTTTTTAATCCTGGCACGCAGGGGAAATGGCTCTAATGCTGGCCTATGGATCTAAGATTGGGCTCATCGCCAAAAATCTACCATTTATCAATTGTATCTAGATGAACACGTCATTGGGACGGTACTAATGGATATTTTTGGTTGCTATTGAAAATTTAGTCGATTGTTGAATTTGTGTATGGGCCCAAATTAGGGGCATTTAGACCGACATTACATCCATTTCCCCTATTTAGTTTTTTTTTTTAATTGTAAGAAGTACTTTGACTATATATGTTTAGTATTACTTCTGCGTGAAGTCAACGATTTACAACATGATCAACATGTTTACAATTTCTATGGAGATCGCAGTAGGCTCTACTCGAGAGTGGTTGATTTTCGTTTTGGCTGTTGAATTTTTACACTGCCATACTCTAAACGGAACTATCAGTTCTATACTTTCATCTCCTCCTCATCTATCATATAAAAATTACCACTTTAGTCTATTATTTGAAATTAGCATCTTCAACTTTCTCTACGTTTTGTATCTCATTTTGTGATTCACCGGAATTCTTCGATACAATTGATGTAAATATTTACAATTTTTGACAAATCTCAGGTAATCATGACAGCAGTTGGTCTCTTTTCTTCATTCATATTGTTTTCAATAATCGAACGTCATGATTACCTGGGTTTTGTCAAAAAAGGTAAATATTTACGTTGTTTGTAACAAAGAATGAGCTGTAACAAGCCTGATTTCGATTGCACTTGTTCATACACATTCTCCTTAGCACACAATGGATCCTCCTCTTCCGTTTATTTAAAAACACTTTCGCGTATATGACTTTACCAACTACCGAACACAGGATATGGTGGTAACACGCGACATTATTGGAAACTTTTACTTAAATGCCACGGCCTCAAGGGCAAATTTTAACCCAAGTAAAAATTTGACAGCCAAACTGAAAATCAACCACTCTCGAGTAGAGCCTACTACGATCTCCATAGAAATTGTGAAGATCATGAACTGTTCAAAAATTCAAATGGCGTCTCTCAAATATTCTCCCAAAATGGCAGATTTATAAGGAAGTATTCAAAATATCTCCAGTCAATCGAAATTTCAGTTAAATCAAACAAAAAATAACTGAATTTGGATACATTTCAAGAAGCTTAAAAAATGGATTAAAAATATTCATTTCTATAGCAAAAATCTTCACATTTCTGCTTCAAGAAAGCCTTCGAAAGTCTTTTTAAATTTCAACCGTTCTTCAAAAATCATCACAAAAAATTAAATGTCTTCAAAATATTCACAGAATCTTAAAAGTCTTCAAATCTGGCGTCCCTGGTGATGAAACCCAGCCATACCCAGTAAAGCGATATGCTCTATGAGGTGAAGAAAGATCCTTCGATCAAGAGCTCAGGCTATGAGAAGCTCGCCGGAGTCTAGACAAGGAAACGAACGTCAGAAACCTATCACAAGAGGAAGTGCTCGAATGCAGGTATCTGTATGAGATCAAAACAAAAGACAAGCTGAGTGTCTAAGCTAAGGAGACAGGCAAATTCAAAGTTGGGTGGTCACTATGCACACTGAAGAATACCCACCAAGCAACCGGAGAGATGCTTTAAATGCATAGTCTTCCAAGTGACACACTGCAAAGGCCTAGACAGATCTGAAAAAAATGCGCGAAGAAGGGTCACATTATAAAAGACTGTAAGAAGCAACCGAGGTGCATGCTCTGAAAAACGGAGGACGGAAATCATCATATCATCTAGGTAGACCTCTATCCAGGATACTTCAAAAGGCGATGGTTAATGTCCACACACGCCTTTATAGCTCTCCGCATGTCATTTGCATCCTTTACTTTCTCTTTGGTCTTTCTGAGTTCCCGCTTCATCATGGCCCAATAGGTTTCAATTGGGCGTAGTTCTGGACAGTTCGGTGCATTCATGTCCTTGGGCACAAAATGCACCGAATTAGCTTCATACCATTCCAGCACGCTTTTAGAATAGTGACATGAAGCTAAGTCCGGCCAAAACAATAGTTTTCCACTGTGCTGCCTCAAAAATGGCTTTTGGAGGCATTATTTTTTGTAAGTTTCACCATTGATGCCCTTTGTGACGAATATTTTACTTCTTTTCCACAGGTGCAGAGCGCCTGCCAAATAAGGCATTTTGATGCAAATTTCGACATTTTCTTTTTCTTGAAATCTGGTCAACATTTCCGTGATGAGCTTCCTTGCGCGGGTTTTAACAACAGTTTGCTGGCGTTCATTGCGGTTTGGGAAGTTTTCAACCTTGAATGCATGTAATCCAGCTCTTGCCTTGACCTTCTGCACGTAACTTTGCGAAACACCGACCTTTTTGGCAACATCACGTGTTGTTTCGGGTGAAATTACCCTTCATCTTTCCCTCCGTCATCTTAGATGCTGCTTTCAGTGTCCTTCCTGCTACGTGCTTGTAATCCAATGTCAACCGATAATTGATCCTGTTTATAACTCTTGATATGGTTGAATTATTGATATGCAGTACGATGCACGATGGGACAGCTCCGGATTTTCCATGTGAGCGTACACATTTTTTTCAGACGTCTTCACTTTCCTCGCATCGAAACAGACAATAACGCAATTTACAGGATGTAAACAATACATTTCAAAGAGAAACTATGAAAAGCTTGGTTAATTTCCACCTAGGAGGAATAAAGATACAGCCAGTTGTAAGTGTTGCAATAATTTCGTGTTCGCCCTTTAATTAAAAACAGGTGCAACATTTTAGCCTGGACGTAATAGCCAAAATGATGAAGAAGTAGATAAGCATTATCTTCTTAGGGAGCATGCATTAAATACGTCACCCCTCCCCATTTCGTCACGATTTTTTTTATACTTAATGCATTGTTAGTCACTTATTTGTAAATCCCCTCTTCCCCCTGGGAGCGTGACGCGCCTAATGGAAGCTCACTTATTCAAATTCGACCTATAGAAATAAATTCATCAGGGTGAACGAATCTCGAAATGGATTCCTATTTTACAACTGCTGCATAAAACGGATCCCATCCGAACTCACCAATTATCGACCCGAGCGTGTACTTGCTCTGCAGCTCCAGCGGCAACGAGTCCGGCGAAATAACCCCATTGAGCACCGTTTCATCTACGCACACAAAGGTATCGTTGTGGCTCTTGATGGGCATCTTGGGCTTCGGTCCCGTCCGGGTCGTATTGCTCCGCAGGGTTTTCTTATTAGTTTGGATTGTTTTCCGCTCGTCCGCCTCCAGTTCGAAGTCATCGTTGCCGACCCGCTCGTTCCCGTACGCAAAGAAGACATCCTCTTCGCCGAAGAAATCTGCTAGCTTGAGCACCGGCGCCCCCGTTAGGGTAAATACCTTCCGCACACAGCCGGTGTCCAGTTTGACGCATTGCGTGATCGCCTGCAGCACGTGTTCGTACGTTGGACTGTTGCGCTTGTTCAGCAGCAATCGAAGAATCTGCAAAAGGAATACGATGGAAAAAATGACATGTAAGCGTGTAAAATGATGAACCAGCAACGCGTGTGACGGTGGTGCCGCTGTGATGTATATTTGCGCATAATGGAATTAAGAGTGATTGCAAATAGCCGACGTACCTTACGAGGCTTCACGCCGTTCCTAATTAGGGTTACGAGCCTAGGATGTACAACGGAGCTAATTTCTTTGAGAGGTGCCGTACCGTTGGAGCCATTTTTGATTGGCGATACTGGACGTATTAGTCTGCAAATGATACAGGAATTACATTCAAAGTGGTGTGAAAATTCCACGCCTTTGAACTACCAACCTAGACAGTCTATTTGTATTCTTTGCAGCTGGATTACTATTGGTAGCATTGTAATCTATCTTTTTGAAACCTTCATTATTACAGGAACATACATAGCTTTTACCATCCTCGAGGTCTTCGAGTTTGTCCACCTTCTTCCCATCGAGGGTGTAAATTGTCCGGATGGCGCCCGTCAGCGTAACACTATCCTCTAACAGTCTCGTTAGGTCCTCTGTTAGACTATCAAATGACCTGCAAAACAAATAAGCCAATCAATCGAATTTGAGTAATTCCTTCAACGCCTCTTTCTCCCCCTAGCTCACCTATATCTCTCCCCCGATACTGGTATGATACTACCGGAATAGAACTTGTCGCCGTTCCGAAAAAACCGTATTCGCCTGGCCTTTTTCGCCGGCGTCCGGCTGCTTGAGATCCGTTTTTTGAGTGTACTGGATTTGTTGTTGGTGCCACTGATTTCCAGATCGATCAGCTCTTTCTCGAGTTCGGAGTTTGAACTTGTCCGACTATTGCTCCGACTTAGGGTCGAAGTTGTGTGATTGCTTACCTCCATCGTCGCTCCTCTCCTCCGTGTTGTTGTCCGTGTCTGTGTTGTCCTTGCCCGAATGTGTTGTACTGCGTACCAGTCACTTCTGGCGGTAGTGGCAGCGTCGGCGGTGGTTTGGCTCCTGCGGTTGACTCCGTCGTTGTCACACCACGGAAGACCGTGGAGCCACGGTTCAGTTAGCTGGAAGGATAGGGGAAAGGTTGTCTTATTAATTTGAAGGTCTGTAAGGAAACTGATAAAAGTAGTGTAATGGTTGAAAGTGGAAAGTGCGAGTCATAAATGCTTCAGGTGATTTAAGATGCCAATGGCATAGCTATTTTGTAAGTTGTGGAACTCGTTGGATCTGAAATAAGTATATTTACATTAAGGGCATCAATAATCATTACTTCAATAGACACGTTCTACGTGACGTCACAGCGGTTTTGACCGATTCTTTAATAAATTTTTGCAATGTAAAAATGAATAGTAACCCCAATATATTATAGCAGATTTGGGTTAAATTTCGTATAAAAATTGATCAAGAGCTTCTGATATGAGTAGCTCAAAACGTTTTGGTGGGTAGTTGTTGTGTAGTTCTCGACCAATAATCGAAATAGGCGGAACAATCCAACATAAACAATGGCTTTAAAAGCAAATTTCTCGAGAATCAAAACACGCAATGTAGCACCAGCATCTAAAAGATCAGACTTCCTTTATCGAATAGCATTGTTAGTTTGCGTTGGTGTATTTTGATTCTCGAGAAAGTTGCGTTTAAGGCATTGTTTACGTTTGGATTTTCCGCCTACTACAATTCATTTTTATTTTTCCTTGATTTGTTTTCCGTCGATCTTGTTTTCCGTGTTGAGCACCAATGCTACCGACGCCAGGGAGGCAGCTCCCACACCTGGACCCTACCTATCGACCCATCAACTCAAGAACCGGGGACCAACGGTTTTGCTTCCCTATGCCTAGATGTTATGCCTCAGAACATAACGGCGGCGCCGACTGGGATTGAACCCACGCCTGCTGGAGTGAGAGGTAATCACGCTTTCCACTACACCACCGGCGCCACTACTTCAATTTTTGGTCTATAGTTGTAGTTGAATAGTGCAAAACGTTGTAACGTCACGCAACATAACCGCTCACTAAATCGTTTTAAACTACTCAAATCAAGATAATAATAATAATAATAGCAATAACATAATAACAGTAAAAGTATCAAACCAAAAATGAGAATAATGGACCCTGTGATCAATTGAAACTGATGAAACTGATATAAGAACTTCACGATTACTCGATGTTGGAATATAGGAATGCATTTTGAAACTCTTGTGACTGTGATATGAGAATATTGAATTATGACATGAACTCTTTCTTCTTCTTCTTCCTCGCATTGCAAGTTTATTGCATATCGGACGTGCTCTCAACTTAGTGTTCTAGATGCACTACCACAGTTATTAATTGAGAGATTTCGATGCCTGTACCATTTCTGTGTGGTAAGATTATACTCAATGACCAGGGAAGTCGAGAAATTTTCCAACCCGTAACATTCCTAGACCGGACAAGGAATCGAACCCAGCCACCTCTAGCATTGTCTTGCTTTGTAGCTGCGCCTTTACCGACCGAGATAAGGGAGGCCCAATGACATGATCTTACAGGTCCAAGAAACGGTCTTCTGGAAGATCCGGAACATGAGCATTTCGCATTTGCAACTCCGGGATTAACGAGATCTACCGAAATTTTTACAAAGAACCATATGAATGGGGCTTGGGAGTAGCAATCCATTATCAGTGTGCAAAAGGGAAAGGATTGTTAGTTCAACACCCGATGTTACTAGAGACCGAAAACACTTCTGCATCTCCGCGGTTCTCACGGGAAGGACTAGTTCGATGGGTGGCGTCATAGTTTAAATAAAGTTCTTCTAGTCATAACTCAGGATCGAGACCAGACAGAAGTTTCTTGTCTTGAATGAAGTTGTTCAAATGGACGAGACCCCTTCAGTAGTCAACAGTTAATTTGGGAAATGGCTCACCCTCAGAGTACAAATAAATTCTTCTAGTAATATCTTAACATCGAGATCAGATAGAAGTTTCCTTTGTTTTGTAAAGTTTTTTTAATTGATGAGACCAATTGAGTACTTTAGTTGGGAGTTGACTCACTAAGTGGCGTCATAGTACACATATAATTCTTCTAGTGATCGCAAACAAATACAAGTTTCCTGCCTTTAGCAAAGTTGTTCAAATGGACGAGATCCGTTCAGATTAGTTGTGAATTTACTCACTAGGTGGCGTTAGAGTACAAATAAAATTGTTCTAGTGATAACTCAGGATGAAGACGAGCTAGAAGTTTCCTGTCTTCAGTAAAGCTGCTCGAATCGACGAGAACCGTTCAGTAGTTAACATTTTGGAAGGGAATTAAATCACCAAGTGGCTTCATAGTTCAAATGAGGAGTGATAACTCAGGATTGAAATCAGATGTCCGTTTCATCGCTACGTTCGCGTCGTGGAAGTGCCGTCATCGACGGGCGCATTGGCAAGTCTAATTGCACTTGCCACCAAACAAAGCATGGTACGCAAGCGTACTTCTGCTCCTGCATCGGAGGGCCCTAGTAAGAAGGCCCAAACGGATGCCAGCGCTGCTTCGGATGACGCAGCAAATCGGCTGCTACAGACCAACCAATTCTCGGTGCTCGAGGTAGAAAATGGCGGTGGTAACGCCACTGAAATTGTAAAAACAGCGCGGATTCCCCCGCTGTTTACCCCGTTGAAGGACGTCGCCTAGCTTATGGATGAGCTGGCAAAACGCAAATTGTTCCCGCGATTCAAGATCTGTAGCGTTGGAACAAAGATCATGTGCTCCAGCCTACAGCAGTACAAGTCGGTCGGTGACCTGCTGAAGAACAGCACAGTGGAGTTTTACACCCACGATTTGCCTTCGATAAAACCATTGAAGATTGTTTTACGAGGACCACCATCGTACGAACCGGCTGCCGTAAATGATGAACTGGTGAGGCTCGGATTTAAAGCAATGAATCGACGGCATATGCCGAATACCAACTATCGTGACCAACTGTTTCTGGTCCACTTCATGAAGGGCTCCACCACCTTTGCTGCGCTGAAGAGCAACATCCGTGACCTGTTTCAGGTCATTATCGACTGGGAATTGTACAAACCACAACACCGTTATGTGACCCAATGCACGCCAAAGTGCGTGAAATGCGGCGGTACTCACCATGCCACTACTCGGGACTGCCCCAAGCGAACGGAATTCATCAACAACAGGAAGAAGGTGCGAACCTGCAAGATCCGATCTGAACAGCTATATGCTGCCTTTTCACTCGTCACCAAATATGGACCGTGAAGCTATAATAATTGCATATTGGAACGCTTGCTCGCTGACGAACAAGCATAGAGAGCTACTCGATTTCCTCAACACCAAGGAGATCGACATTGCTATTATCACCGCGACGCACTTGAAGCCCGAACTGAACGTATTCCTTCCCGACTTCCGGCTCGTCAGACGTGACCGCACCTGCTCCGGGGGTGGGGGAGTGGCCATCGCTGCAAGACGGAACATCAGTTGCCGGCTACTGCCAAGCTTCCAGCTGAAAACAATTGAAGCCATCGGAGTGGAGGTGAGCACATCACCATCATCGCGGCCTACTGCCCCAAGCAAACCAACATCAGGGACGGATCGTCCGTGGCTCTCCGGAAAGACATCATAAAACTCACCCGGAGGAGCGAGAACTTCATCATCGCTGGCGACCAAAAACACCAAGCTTGCACACTTAGAAATAGCTAATTTTACACGTGACGGAATCCATCTTTGACATAAAGGATGAGACGTAAACAAACATGTCATGTAAAATTAAGTGCTCCGAGACTGAAAAGTTCAAAAGTACGTTTGATTGAGCTGAATTTCGCGTCTATTATGACTCAATTTTGTGTCAAAATTGACGCTCGTATATGTCAGTCTCAGAGCACCTAAATTTACATGATTTTTTCTAAGTGTGTGGGGCAACGGTCGACTATACCAACTATACCATCTTCCCCGGACACTCCCACCCGGTTGAGTCGGTCTGGGGTTCATGCTACCATCGACATCTTCGTAAGCAACATGGGACACAACGTCTCGCAACCTGTGGCATTCCAGGAGCTGAGCTCGGACCACTACCCGGTGGTGACCGAAGTAGGCTTCTCGACTAACAGATTTCAAGCATCCCGGTGAAACTACCATCGTGTTGAAAAGGATCGGTTCCAGCACTGTGTCGACACCGCCGTCGACTACGAAGTACATCCGGACGCCCCCGAAGACGTTGACCGATGCCTTCGTTCCTTGGAGGAGACGATCTCCCGAGCCAGGGAACAACACGTGCCAATATCCAGACAGGTGAGCAATACTCTGAACCTTGATAGTCCCACTAAAAACTTTATCAGACTCCGTAACACCATGCGTAGGCAGTACCAACGTACTGGACTGCCTGCCTTGAAAACCCATTGCAACCGTCTAACAAAAATAATCCAAACCAGGATGATGGACCTCAGAAATGAGGACTCTAGTAACAAAATGAGCTCTCTCCCAGATTGTGCAAAGCCCTTTTGGAAGCTAACCAAAATCCTTAAAAATAAGCCAAGACCCATTCCCCCGCTTGTGCCGTTGAATCAACCCAATGATTCAGTTGCTCATCTGATAACCCCTCAAGAGAAGGCTGATGCTATAGGTCAACATTTCGTCAACTCGCATAATCTCGGACTGAACATGCCTAGTCCATACGATACTTCAGTTGCGGTAAATGCAACCAACCTCCATCGAATTCCTAACAACTTTCCTGTGGAATCCGAGATTACGGCTGACGAACTGTTGGCCTATACCAAATCATCTAAAAATATGAAGGACCCAGGTTTCGACCAAATCCTGAATTTGGAACTCAAACACCTGAGTTCCAGATTCTTCAACCATCTGGCACTGATTTTTAATCAGTGCCTAAGACTTGGCTACTTCCCCTCGTGCTGGAAGTCAGCTAAAATCATCCCCATCCGGAAACCTGGGAAAGATCCATCCTCTCCTTCAAGTTACCGACCCATCAGCCTTCTCTCGGGGTTATCCAAGCTGTTCGAAAGAACAGTCTACCATCGACTTCTAGCATCTGCCGAGGAAAACAACATATTGCTCGAGGAGCAGTTTGGCTTCCGTAAAGGTCG